TGCTTGTGGTGAGCTGGGAAGGGGTCGGACACCTTCACCGCGATATTCCCGCGGCCCAGGACAGGGATTCACAACGAACTCGCCACAAGATAAAAATGAAAAATTCACAGGCGACCAGGCAGCGCGCACTCTGAGCGGGCCATTAGTCCATCACAGATCGCACATGGACACTCCACGCCACGCCCGGTATTCCTAGAAGCCAGTTAACCCAACGGCATGTCTACGGCCGGTGGAAGCCCACGCAAACTCGGGGAGAACAAACTCCACGCAGACAGAACGGGATGTGTACCAGGGAAAACAACGGGAAGGCTGTCTCGTGCAATACCGTGGGCCAGAAACACGGTACAGCTTTAAAGCTTCAACATTTCGACAGCGCTTTTTTTTTTTGGTTATTCTGCCAATCTGAGCACAGACCTGTTGTAAACGATCGCAAGAACGCAGGGACGCTGACGAAACCCCTAAGACCAAGACAAGCCGGTCTGGGTTCCCTACGGGTCCCTGTTCCCAGACTGCCTTCAGGAATCCCGGAGAATCGGCCTCCGCCATTCGGCCGCGCAGGTTGTTCCACACCCCCGCCACTGTTAGTGTAAAGATGCGCCTCCTGCTTTCCGTTTTAGCTGCAATAACATGAAATTCGGCGAATACACTTCCTGCGACTGCTGCAGCTGTACCGATATGGGCGACATTTGCATTGGCCGATTGTAGAGCGGGGAGCTATAGAGTCGGACACTGTGCTCGTGACGCCTGAAGCTGAGGTGGGTCCGAGCTGCCTGCTTGCTCCGAGACGCCTCCGAATCCACATTCCCAGTTCATACTGTGTCCAGGCGGGGCTGCACACTGGTGGTGGTGGAGCGGAGTCCCCATTACCTGAGTGGAGTGTCCAGAAAAGCGCTATATAAGTGTTATTATTATTATTATTATTGTAGAGCGAGGGGGCGGCGGACGCGGTTTCAGCGGTTTGTCTGGCTGCTCCGAATGTGTGGAAACGGGGGCTGAATCATTGACTGGATCTCCGCCGCGGACAGCGAGCCGTGTCGTTCCTGCGCCTCGGTACTGACCGGTCTCTTCCCTGCGCCTCAGTACTGACCGGTCTCCTTCCCTGCGCCTCAGTACTGACCGGTCTCCTTCCCTGCGCCTCAGTACTGACCGGTCTCCTTCCCTGCGCCTCAGTACTGACCGGTCTCCCTTCCTGTGCCTCAATGCTGACCGGTCTCTTCCCTGCGCCTCGGTACTG